TGAAATGGTGGCTCGGAAAGGTGGGAAAAAAGATGGGATCTGTGGAGAAAGAGATGGGATATCAGTGGAGAGATAGGGGTGTAAAGGGAAAAGGTGGTGGTGTAGAAGTAGAGGTGGAGAGGCTGAGGCTGTGCTATTTCGTGGCACCACAGCTAGAACCGTGTGTCTGGTTAGCAAGGCTGCAGCATCCTCTTGCAGCCTGGGTCTGTGGAGGTGAAAAGAACACGTGTGTGCCTGGGGAGAGTCCTGTGCTCATCACCTCCTCCTCCCAGAGGAAGGTGGCAACTGCTCCTCTCTGGGCCTAGATTTTATCTAAACGTAAAGATGAGCGTGAGTAAGTGCTTAGGATGTAATTTCTGGGGGGAAAAAAAATGGCCTTTGGTACAGGTTTTTATTTTGCACGTGTTCCGTAGAAGTCCTGGGAAAGGTCGTTTTCGTGCACGTGCTAGGCTTTTCCAAGGTCGTAGTCAAAGCGTGTAGCAGAAGTTAGCCTGGGTACATAAATTAATGCATGTTAGACTTGGTAAGGGATCCTCCTGGCTGTGACTCTTCACTGCAATTATTTTCGTTGGAAATTGATTCAGCGAGCAACCATTCATGGCTGTGTTATGGAGTCTTTGGGTTGTAGAAATTTACTTCCAGTCAACTTTCTATTAAAAGTTTAACTCATTTTGAACTTCATGCTATAGCTGTCCACTTCCTGGTTCTCAATGAACTTCTCAAGGATCGTTGTAAAAATGCTTGTTTGGAGCTGGATGACTGGCTGTTTTATGCTGAGTGATTGGTTTGTTTTGTGTCTTCTGGGGGAGTTTGTTTTGTGAAAAGACTTCATAAATTAAAGAAAATTTTAGTGCTTCACTTATTTTCTGGCTTTTGTTAGCAATTCTTATTCCCGGGTGTTAAATACAGTATTTCTGCACTTTGCCCTGGGAGTTGCAAGTTCAGTTTCACTTTTTGCTTAAGTAGGCAAAATAACAGCATTTGGGTAACAGTTGGAAGCTTGTTTCCAAGTAGCCATAAGAATTTCAGTCTAAACTTTTGGGTTGTTTTTTTTTCTTTAGTTTTGGAGTTTAATAACACCATTTGAATTTATTTGAATAAGTTATTCAGTTAGGTCCACGGGATAATAAGAATAAGCTCTTTTTCTATATCCAGCTCCCCTGTGTTTGTGCCACCAGCAGTACTTGAAAATACATTGACTACCAGAGGGGCTAAACCCATGTGTCTGTTAATGGCAGAAGGAGGGCGGGAGTGAGGAACAGCGGGTTGGAACTCCAGCATCGTAATAACTGCCAGCACCTTGGACTTTCATAAACGGTGCTGTCATTCTCATGTTGAATAGCAGCTGTATCTGTTTATTGCCAGTCGGTTTGACCAGACACTGAAGTCCACTTTTCCCGTAGTCAGAGTCTGGAAAACTATTAAGCGAGTCTCCTAGAAAACAGGAGTCTAATCTGGATGAAGATACTTGGTTAGTAATTTGTCAAGTATCTGAAAGTGAGTGGCTTTGCTAGTTCCAATTTACTGTGAAATGATTAAAGTTTTTAGCACTGGCAAAGACAATATGCTATCTGGAAAACTACTGTAGTTATCTCATGTAGCGTTTGCAATCTTATCTTCAAAACCTAGTGCTAAAAAAGCAATTTTGAAAATAATTTAAATAACTTTCATCAATCCCAATTTCATAAAGTAAACACTGGGTAGTAACTGTACCTAATCTCTTTGTGATTATTTTGCTATCTTTAAAGTTCTCACAAAGAATTAAAGAGTCTCAGGATTTTTGTAGTAACCTAACTGAAAAAATGTGTCCTCAGACATTGAGGTGCTTCCTTGTATGAGGAATGATTTCATTGTAAAACTCTGTGTGTCCCAGTGGGAAGTGTGTCATGAACAGAATTGACTGCAGAGTACTGGAGATGCTGGACTTCAGTAGTTAAAAATAAGATATACTTGCAGTAGTCAAACTTTTTAATAGCAAGAGCTATTGGTACCAGGGCAGAATTGGAAGGCCAATACTTCTGTCTAGGATGAATGGTTGTGGTTTTTTCCAAGCTGCACTTGTCTATAATTGAATACAGAACAGTGCCTGTAAAAGATTTTATTTACTTTTCACACTTAAGGCTGTTTTGTGTAAAACAGGTGGTGTTTTATTGAAGTATTTTGTTTTCCACCATTGCATCTTAAATACTAAAACCATTTTGTCACTCCTGTTCTAGCTCAGCCTCCAGAACCAGGAACTCCTTTCCTGTACCCTGTCGGTTTAGTGGTTCCTTCTGTAGACCAGTTACATAATCATTGACTCGTGCATTTGTCTTTCATCAGATACTGTTCCAAGGCCAATTTTTTTCTATGAAGGAATTTCTACTCATTATAGAGAATGTAGGAGTATAGAGGATTCAAGGAATGTTACACATTGTACTTTTTTTTATTTTTAAGGGCCTTCATTACTGGCACAGCAAAACTTTTTGTTCAAGTCCTTTGATGTCATTGTCTGCTGTCCGTCATTTCCCTATTAAGTTTTTAGAACTTGTTATTAATACTAGGAAGGATAAGACTGACAGTCTTGGGGGAGGGTGAGGAGACTCACTGTTCTGTTAGCAGTACTTCTGCTGTGAACCAAAGAACAATATCGTATCAGGAATGGCTCTGAATGTATTTCATGTTAACGGAAAATGATTGACTGACAAATATTCACAGTCATTACAGTCTCTGTGCTTCCTATTAGCATAGAGTCATGGACTTGTACAGATAATGTTAGAAATACCATAGTGATAGGTTGGGGCATGAAGATCTGAGAGTTCAAACTGCCATGTGCTGTGGTGTTTTATGTAATTTCAAACATTTTCATCCTTCAGTTGTGTACACTTTTTTCACTTTGTTTTGTTTTTTTGTTTTGTTCCCATTATCTAACTTTTTGTTTTCCCCCCTTAAATGTTTTGGTGATTCTCCAGAACCAACGAAACGTATGCTTTCCTTCCAAGGGTTAGCGGAGTTGGCCCATCGTGAGTATCAGGCAGGAGACTTTGAAGCAGCAGAGAGACACTGCATGCAGCTTTGGAGACAAGAGCCTGATAATACCGGTGTGCTTTTGTTACTGTCGTCCATTCACTTCCAGTGTCGCAGATTGGACAGGTAGGAGGCTTGAGGTGTTATGTCAAGCTTTCTTTATAGTTTGCACTTCTAATAGTACTGAGCATAGCTGACAGAAGTTCTGTTCTTACATTGATTTTTTTTGGTTTTTTAATTTAAATCTCTCAACACAAATACTAACTTCATGGCAGCAGTAAGGACTGGTCAAAAACATTTTTCTTCCTTTTTGAATTTTGTTAGGGTAAGAGAAATACAAATTGCAATCACTAGCTTTACAACAAACAACAGATCTTGCCATTATTCTTATGTTATTTTAATATTGTACACGTCAATATCAGAGCATCAGCCACATTTGTGTGTGCTGGAGGTATTTACATGTGTAAACAAAGGGTTTTGTTTATTTTTTTCCGCCTGCAGTGTGGAGCTTTGTGGTTTGGGGTTTTTAAGTTGCAAGACTGATTGTTTGCTGCGAAATGTCATGATTAGTTCAGAATTTTTGTAATCTGAAATTTGTCTCTATATTCTTTCTGCTTGCCTGTTCCTGATGTTGCTTTCTGTGCCTCAAGCGTTTTGAACTGTACTTGTTCTAGCTGTAAATCTGTGTGGGCTGGTGAAGGCAGTGAGAACTTTTGACGGAGGTTTATTTTATATAGGCTTCTGGATGAAGTTGTAATAATAGTTCAGATATGGGAAAATAAAATGAGGGATACAACAGAATTTTACATCTACATTTGTCCACTATGTCCTACTTCTTGCAAAGAGTATCAAGTGCAACATTGCTTAAAAGCATACAAATGTTGGAAGAGGATTTCTGTAATGTTTTCTCCAGGTGTGCTGAGTTCATGTTTGGTGAGGCAACTTGAATCCTGCTGATTGTAAATGAGAGTTGTCTTTCTTCAATAGAACCTAAAATAGGAACAGGGGAGGTGATAGCTTAAGCTGGAAGCTGAACATACAAGACCTCTGTAAATCCAGATTTGTTTGACTAGTGTCCTGAGTTCAGCTGGGATAGAGTTAATTTTCACAAGAAGCTGGGAGGGGGGCACAGCCAGAGTAGCTGACCTGAACTAGCCAAGGGGCTATTGGATACTGTGCTGACATGTGCTAGTGTATAACTGGGGGAGCTAGCTGGGGGAGGGTATGTAGTTGCAGCTGAGCATTGGGTTCTGGGTGGTGAGCAGTTGTCTTGTGTATCACTGGAGAGAGAGAGACATGTATATTCTTGTTAACAGTGGTGTTATTCTCTTTTCCTGTGTTGTGTTACTAAACCTGTCGTTAACTCACGAGGTTCTACCTTCTGTTCTTCCAATTCTCTTCCCTATGGGGGTGTGGGGAGAGGGAGGGGTGAGCAAGTGAGCAGCTGCTGGAGCTTAGTTTGCCAGGTGGCCTTAAACCAGGACAGCATGAATGTTCATTAAGTAACTAGGTAAACAGGCAAATACTGAAAGTCGAGGGTGGATTTTTTTTTTTTTTTTTGCTAACTTGTCTGATTTTCTCCAGGTCTGCTCACTTCAGCACTTTGGCTATTAAACAGAATCCACTGTTGGCCGAAGCCTACTCGAATCTAGGCAATGTGTACAAGGAACGTGGACAGCTACAGGAAGCAATTGAACATTATAGACACGCACTGCGCCTCAAACCAGATTTCATTGACGGATATATTAATCTGGCTGCTGCGCTGGTAGCTGCTGGTGATATGGAAGGGGCAGTACAGGCATATGTGTCTGCCCTTCAGTACAACCCTGTAAGTAATGCTTTATTTTATAGAAGAACTACATACTACTGTCCCAGGACACACAGATTGCAGGTTTCAGAGAACAAACAGGTGATAATCCTTCCTCCTAACTGGTACACCATAAAATTAATGATCTACCTAATACTTTCCCTAAGGATCTTTGAAAGACTTCTGTCACAGAAATGTCTGTATTGCAATATAGTAAGGGCTGCTGGTCTGGTACTTATCTGTATTGTTAAGATGACAGAAGAACAAGGAAGTGGGGTTTGTGGGCTTTTTTCCCTGAAGTCATAAGTTTCAATGAATAACCTCATATTTAGCTTTGTGTGCTTTAAGGCAGTATTATTACAGTGAGAGAATCACAGCTCAGACTTGAATGGGAGATCTGAATAAATACCTCATGATTTTTCAAGAAGTAAGAAACTTCATGGTGCTGAGAGTTGCCTTTGTTAGATTGCCACTGTGGACTGGCTTATGGAAGCATTGCTTTTATGTTTTATAGGCTGAAACTGAGTGTCTATAAATGACTCCTGTAAAATAGATTTGGTGTTTGGATTTTAGTAAACAGTGTATCAGACTGCTGTCTCCTGTTCATTTTGCATCAGTAAGATTATCTGTTGGCTGTAATGCTCGGTCAAGAAAGATAATTTACATTTTGATGTATTTATTAAGAATTTAAAATAAGCTGTAGAGGGCTGGGGTGTTCCTTTGCAAGTTATCTTTGTCCTTTGGGACATCTGAAGTCCTGAAGCTGATTGTGTGACCTTGGTTTTTCAGGACTTGTACTGTGTTCGTAGTGACCTGGGGAACCTGCTCAAAGCCCTGGGTCGCTTGGAAGAAGCCAAGGTAGGTGTTGGGTAGAATACATGTAAACGTCAGTGTTTTGAAAACTTGAACTTTGCACCAAGTCTTCAAATCTGCGTTGATCTACAGTCACTCTGAGAAACTGCTGAAAACTGAAGGCACTGAAACACCCCAGAGTAGTTGCAGGGCAAGATATGTCCATGTTTAAAAGTTGGTTTAAGTCAAGAAATGGAACATTACCAAGCCTTTCTGCTGAACTAGACTATCTGATACCGTTCCGAAGTATTGGGCAGGGGCTCCATCATGCTCTTATCTGGAAATAAATAAACAGTCCTTCAAATCTGAGGCTTGCCTGCTGATGCCAAGCAGAGAGCCTGTGGTTAGCTCGAGATCCCTGTACGATGCAGGTGCTATTGAAAATGCTGCTCTTCTAAAGTCCTTTGTGGCTTGTAAGTGGAGAAGATCCTTATCCAAATGTTACCTTGTAATATTGGCTTTTAAAGATTTTTATTCTTTTAACTTTTCCCTTCCCTTGATAGTGGAAGAAAGGCTAGTAAATGATCAATAGCTGCAGTATGCCAACCCCTTGAATATCTTTTCTTCATGTCTTCCCTCTCCCCTCCCCCAAAATAAAGAAATCGGAAGGACAAAGCTGGTTTGTTTGGGAAATGAACTGATCGAAAGAAAACTTGCTGTAGTGGAAAGGTGGCTTCTAGCAGTCTTGTGTTACCTAAACTGATAATTTGAACACCAAGATGAGTTTAAAATTCTTGGCATGTTAAAACTTGGATTGCACAAAGAAATTGTCTTGTTACAAGCCACCTTACGCGTCCGCGCAGCAGGGGTGAGGAGTGTGGAGAAATCGGAAACACTCTGGACTCCACATCTGTCACTCCAAGCCCCACGCGCATGCTAAAAAGTGGAGTGTATGAACAGCGTAGCTGTCTGTTTGGCTGCAGCACCATTTGGGGAGGGTTATGATCTGCATGGGGTAATGGGAGTTCAGGTTCAAAGTTCATTATTTTGTTGATTTCTGTTAACAACTTGGATGTGTGTGCCATCCTAGGGCAGCCTAATCGATTTGGTCAGATCCAGGTTGAAAATCCTTCGTAACAGCATTTAGAGTTTGAACAGTCTTTGAGACACTTGGTTCTCAGCCCACCAAGCGGACAGCTAACATGAATTGCACTTCACTGCAGCTTTAGTGTGACTGGTATAGGCCAAGACACTGCGCCTGCCTTAGGTTGCTGACTTCTTTGTTTCAGAGCTCTGGAGACACCTAGTTTGAAAGTGTTATTCCGTTTTGTGAGAACTTAATAAGCAAGGAAAAACATCTTGAGTAAATTGCAATGTGTTTCTTTGGTTATCAGTCCATTTGAAAAATCAAGCCAGCAGATTCCTTACAGTTTGAACTAAAATTTAATTTCTTTGTAGATATTTCAGAGCCTTTCTTCCAAAAAAAAAAAAAGTCCCTGCTGTATGCAATTGCCCTGATTAACCCTCTCCCTTCTGCATGTCTCCCTTGTTACAGACAGATTGTCCTCTTTCCCATGTGTTAAGACATATCCAAAAAAAATGCAATTGCTTTGTTGAACTCTTACTAATGATCTTGTTTTATTTTCTCTCTTGTTTTTGGTTTTTCACCACTGATATTGTATTTAGAAGGTTTCAGGTGGGTGAAACCTCCTATTCCATGCCTAAGGTGCCTCGCTGAAGGGAGCTCGAGGCCTGGATCTAGGGCAGACACACACCTCCTCCTCCTCTTCCAGCAAGGAACGCACCGAAAAGTCACATGATGAGAAATATGGTAACGGGTTTGTAACTGCCACAGCAAAACCATTTGCCTCCATGCCTGAATCTTCTGTCTTGTGGCTTCAGAAACAGCTTAAAATATTTATGTACAAGCAAGTAATGTAAGAATATTTTATACTAGTAGCCACAAATTCTTTCAAAGAAATAAAGTAAAAGTAAATTAAAATATTTTTTAAAGAAATAATTGGAAATAGTTAATAGTAAAAGCTTCTAACTCTTCTGGTTGTTCATTTTTTTCCTTTTTTCTTCTTTGTTTGGATTGCAGCATTCTGCTCTTCTGATGATGCGCTGTGATCCTGCAGTAGCGCAAAGGCTGCGCAGCGGTAACGCGCATTGCGTGCGATTAAGCCCTCATGAACGGTTGACTAGATGATTAATCTCTGATTGGGTGACTGCCCAAGCTCCAGGCTGTAGCCTTTTGGATAAAATTGGGTTGTAACGCATTTAGAGTCCAGACATCAAATTTAATACACAAGTTTCTTTCTGGGCCTGTCTGGTAGATTAATGATTCTGGTTGGCCGTTCAGTGGACCTAGGGCAATCAATATAGCAAAGCAGTTTGCAGCGATAGCGTGGCGCCGTGCTGTTTAGGATGCGCAGCGATTTCTTGCGCTTGCATTACAGGGACCTAAACCTTCATGCAATCCTGTCATTTGAGGTTTTGAAGCTGGAGGGTTGACTGTATTTGAAGAAACTGGGAAACAAGCTATGGATTGGGTGTGTCGTCTCACATGAGGACAATTAAAACTGAAGAATGGATTTCTCTTTTTCAGTAGTTTTTCTCATTTTTTTTGAAGTAATTTCTTTGTTAGTTTATTTCATGATTTAATTTTATTTTACAGCGAAGTTGTTTTTACACAGTAATTTTTTGGTTTTTATACAGTTGCCACCCTTAGGGTGGCAGATATTTCCACTGACCTACTTGAATAATTTCTAAGATGATTTCTGGGGTGACCTGGTGTCTAAAGGCGTGTTAATTTGTTATCAGCGTAACTGAAAAATGGTGGGCTTGCACCTGGGTTTTGGTTTGCGCTGGCGCAGGATCAACAACAGTTTGCAGCGCATTAGTTTTGGCGCAAGCTAGCCTATACTGCAGGGTCACTTTTGGCTGGTTAGAGAAGGCATACTAACAATTTTTTTTTTATTTTTTTCTTTTTACAAATATTCCCCTTCCCTTGTATTTCTTCTTTAACTGTTCCAAGGCCTGTTACTTAAAAGCAATTGAGACTCAACCAAACTTTGCAGTGGCTTGGAGTAATCTTGGCTGTGTTTTCAATGCCCAAGGAGAAATTTGGCTTGCAATTCATCACTTTGAAAAGGTAACTGTGCGTGCCAGTCAGCTTCCCTGCTAGATTTTTATGTACATGCAGTTGTCTCCTTGTAGATGATAGAAGTATTTTGATCAGCAGAGAACTTCTTATGATGCTGCAGTTAACATCCTGTGTTGTTTTTTTTGGACTGCCTGTATGCCGCTAGAGAGAGATGTTTGGAATTGCCCTGAAGGACTTCAGACCCATGTCAAATACAACAAAATCCATTAAGTTGTTTTACAGTCCTTTGGACTGTAAGAATAGGAGTAATGTTTTTTGTATTTCATGTGCGAGAGGGAGAAGCAACTTTCTGCTTAAAATAATTTTCATTGGGATTTGTTTCAGATATGTCCTTTGAGTAAGTAACGTTAACAGTCTTAAGTGACACAGTAATTCCTCTTCTCTGGGATTATTTTTCATCACTGTTGTTTCAGACTTCTCTAGATTGGTGTCATTAACAAGTTGTCCGATACCTTCCAGTTAGTGTCTATTTAGCATCTTATTTCAGTTTGTACTCATCTCTTACGTTTCTAAAGTGGCTGAAACTGAATTTAAGATGTGGTGGACAGTTTCTTCCTCACATTTGTGACTTCAGATGTACAAAAATAATTTTAACTGCTCAGGATGTTTTTTGGAGCTGTGTCTAGTTAGTGATAAAGTATTTTAATTTGGAAATAATAGTTCCCATGAGAAAGACTGTAAGAGTGTGGCCTGTCAGATACTTACATGTAGCTTATTACTGCATCTTTTATAAGTTTATAGGTTTTTAAGTTTTTTGCATTTTATTAGTTTTGAAGGGAGTTAAAATGTTTTCATTCTGATTAAATGGCTACTGAATTTT